GCTTCAACAACTGGGACAGCTTCAGCAACAGCTTCAACAACTGGGACAGCATCCAAAACAATTTCAGCCACAGGTGTAGCTTCCACTGCTGCAGCAGATTCAGAGATGGATTCGACAGCAGGTGTCGCTTCAACAACAGGTGTGACTTCAGCTGCTAAAGCAGGCTCAAGAATAGCTTCAGCAGTAGGAGTGGCCTCAAGCACTTGGGCAGCAGCTTCTACTGCAGTGGTTGCTGTCAGAGTCTCAGGTGCAGCAGCAGAGGGCGTGGGCTCTGCAGCTGGAACTGGAGTGGCAGCTGGTGTAGCTGCAGCTGCAGCAGCTGCTACTGCTCCAGGAGAAACTTCTTTCTTGGGAAGCTCATATGGCTTGTGCTGAACAAGTTTCTCTAAATCGAAGTATGTTTTAGCCTCGTTTTTGTCTAGGATGAAGGAGGAGGGCAAGCAGACAGAATGCATTATTTTTCAAAACATGTATATGGTTGAATGGCAAAATGTCCACTATTAAACACATTTACAAAAAGCAAGATTTGAAACAGAAGACATCCTGGAGTGTAGTATCTGGTACAGGTTTACTGGAAGATAAGGGGGGAAAAAAACACATCCCAAGCCTATGAAATAGCCAGAGATAAGGCAGATTTATCACAAGAAAGCTTCAAGAACCCTTAACAAGAAAGAACAACTTTACTTTTGACCATAAAATCTTGATAGTGAGAGAAGTGGAATGGAGTAGTAAGTCAGTGAAATAATCTTAAAAACAGATGTAAGGAAAGCCAGAACTGAAAATCAACTGTGGTGCAAATACCACTGAATAATAATCATAATAATAATAATAATAATAATAATAATAAAACATATCTACACAACTCTGCAAACATGTGCATATGCAAGCTGTCCTGTTTATGTTCCTCGTGGCCTCATGCAGAGATACCTCTCACAGTGCCAGAGAAACTGCACAGTAAACCAAGCGATGTATAATGCTTAGTAATGCAATAACAGATTCAATCTAAACTAACAGCAGCTGTTCAAAGAGTCCAAATAACTAGAAGTCCAGTTTGTTTCCGATTTCTTATACAGTGAAACTGAAAGCTCAGGACTCCATCCGAGGACAGCTGATGATGATTTAACTGCAGCTTACAAACTGCTACTGTGCGGCAGCTCATCTGGCTGAGGTGAAGAAAAGTTCATTGTGAGTGGCTGTTGCATCCTGATCAATCCTTTCTTCACGTGAGGGATAATTTGTAGTTAAACCTAATTAATTAAGTTATTACTTTTGCTCTATAAGTCAATGCGAGCAGTTCTCTTTCTTTGGAGACCCTTGCGGATCCTATTGCTGTCTGATGCTGTAGGCATAAAAAAAAAAAAACAAAAAACTATGGGGAAATATTTATCAACAGTTGGAAACTTAACCGGCATTTTCTGTGTGACAGCTCACCTGCCTGATGTAAAGACAAGTAGGTCTAAACAGTGTGGCTTGCTGTTGGATCCTGGTCCAGACTGATCCACTCTCCACACTCTCTCAGTGTCAATGTATAATAATTCAGACTTTATAATAAATTCAATAAAGTTGCTGCACTGTTCTTCCATGAGCAAATGCACGCAATTCTCTCTCTTTGGAGATGTACATATGGTTCCTACTGCTGTCTGATGCTGCATGTATTGAACAACCTCAGAGGGTATAGCTCCAAACAACTGGAGGAAACTTTTTTTGGAGAAAAAAAATCTCTTATTCCATTGATTATTGGTGGGTATCATCTTTAAGCTATCAGTGTCTGTTTTCATCACAGTAAAGTTTTCAGATTTCATTTTGTAGCCCAATGGATATGAAATTGATGAGCATAATGAGTGAGAAAAATGTCTTTTGAGTTCGGTGTTCAGTGCTTTCTGGGACATTTTAGGACAACTATTGTGCGGGATGTGAAAAATTCCTTACTTAAATCACTTCACACAGCTGAAAGTACTGTTGCCTATCTGTTAATGTAATGGTTCAGTTCAGACTTGTGCCGTGTTCAAAGTGATATGGAAATGTTACTCGGTCTGCACTAGTCACACTGGCATTACTGACTGAGTTATAACTTTGAAAAGAAAGGTGCAAATACTGACAAGAACTGTGTACCTCAGGGTCTAAAAGTTAAGTCAAAGTAAATAAAGTTTTTAAGTAAATATTGTCTGTCAGTTCGAAGAATAAAACACAAGCAATAGTGTCTGTAACACTGTTCTAGCTTAAGTGAGACATTTCAGATGGATCATACAATTGAGCACCTCTGCAAACAGGAGGCCAATGACTGATCTCATTACACTGTTGTCAGACAACACTGTGCCTTTTAACTGCTGGTAGGGAGGTACCCTACTCTAAGATATTTGATCTCATAGCCTTTAGCCTTAGACCAAGATGTACACAATGTTAAAAACTTCTTTCAAACAAAATCAGGTAAAAACATAGTTACTTTACACCACAATGAACAGTAATGTGGAGACTGTCTAAGTCTGGGAGGTTTTGAGGAGCTCTGCAAAGTCAATAGGATAACTAATACAAACTACTATCTACATTAAAGCCTGGTATGTTTATTCATTGACCAGATCTAAGATTGAACCACAGTTCGAGCTTCATTCACGAGCTTATAAAGCCCCAGCCACAGGTTGTGACAGCAGCAGACTCTCGACGAACACCTACCTATGTTGTTCTTCTTCGATGACTTCTTGGAACCCCCGGATTTTGTGCTGAAAGCTACAGCTGTAGGTGTTCTGCTCAGAGTAATCCAGCTCTCAGCCTGCAAACACTGACAACACAAACACATTACATACATTTACATTACTTACTTAACAGCAGTAATAGAGCATTGTCAAAATGGCCAGTTCTAGTCAATGTGATCAACTCAAACTACTCGACTAGAACTGAAAATCTTTATTGACATTACAATTTGCAACAAAATTGGTAAATCTTTCAGTGCATAATAAAAAAAAAAAATACAAAACGCATAGTTAGGTATTACTAACTATGACTGATCTGAATGCTAGATTTTTTTTGGCTATAAACCAAAAATTCCATTTGAGTCACTGACACTGACCACATGGATATCCAAGCAGTGGTTTGAGCAGGTTCGGTTAAACCAGAATTGACAGAGGATTTCAGCATGACTGTGTGATAGGTTAAACCAACCCATCTCCACAGTGCTTTGTCAGCGCTGGAGAATGGTCGGACTGCAACCATTATGATTACGTTATAGGGCCGGAAAGTATCTTCACTTAGCTAGTGTCATGCCCTAGATCAGGGGTGTCGAATCCTGGTCCTCAAGGGCCGCAATCCTGCATGTTTTAGATGTTTCCCTCTTTCAACACACCTGATTCACATGATCAGCTCATCATCAAGCTCTGCAGAAGCCTGATAATGATCCTGATCATTTGAATCAGGTGTGTTGGAAGAGGTGTGCAGGATTGTGGCCCTCAAGGACCAGGATTCGACACCCGTGCCCTAGATAGTGGCAGTACCTCTCTCACTCTCTCTCTCTCTCTCTCCCTTCACTCAGGTGGGAGTGAGTTGGTGCATGCAGCAGAGCAGGCCAGGTGCAGCAATCACATAATCACCTAAGCGAGGTCACCTGTGGCAGGGAGTGATTTCAGCCATAACATTATCTCCTGCCTCCATGAAGGCCTTCCTCAGATCACTCTACAACGTCAGACCGTTTACTACAATCCGTCAGTAAACCACGATCTCTGTTCTGTTTCTGCTCTGCCTGTTCGTTCTGCCAAGAACTAATTCCAGTCTCTTTTACCTGCAGTTTGGACTCTCCCCGCTGTCTGGTACAGAACTTTGCAATCCAGCTCACTCCTGATCCACATGTAATATCTGATTCTGGTCCTGCCTGCAGATCTGTTTCTCTAGCCTCACTGAATTTGTGCTCAGTCCGGGTTCGCCCCAGCCCAGTTCTGTAAATTCTGTATCTGTTCAGTTTTAGTACTTGTGTAGTTTTTGTAACTGTTGCTAGCGGGTTTTTCCCTGCCGTGACCCTAGTCGTCTATGTAGATTCTTAGTAGTTTCGGTTTACCTGTTCTGTTTCTTAATCTTTTCAGAAATGAAAAGATTATTGTGAATAAAATCTTTGTTATTCCACGCTCTGATCTCTCGAGTCTTGTCTGCGCCTGAGTCTCTGAGTCCGTTCTGTGACAATATGTTGATCCCCCTCCCAGTGGTCCTTCGGCTGCGGTCCTAGTCACCTACCCGGTAGCCCTCCCAGTTAGCCCAGTTACAGTTACAGCCTCTCTTATGCATCTGATAAGGCTAAAATTGCTAACTTGGTTAGTTTACTTAAAAGGACTGGCCAGGGAATGGGGAATGGCTGTTTGGGAGAAACAGGGTGTGATGTGTGCTTCTTAATCTGCTTTTATCTCCGAGACGATGAAAGTCTTTGACCACCCCGTGCGTGGAAAGGATGCTGGAAATCGCCTCGCCTTGTTACAACAAGGAGCCTGGAGTGTAGTGGAGTGCAGGACGCTGGAGAGCAGGTGGAACGACACGGCTTTCCAGGGGTTGTTCTTCAAGGGTCTCAATGAGGTTCTAAAGGATGAACTGGCCACCAGAGCTGACTCTGCTGATCTGGATGCCCTCATCGCGATGTCCATCTGGTTGGATAACCGACTGAAGGAGCGTTGATGGGAACAAGGCTCTTGCCCCACCATGGCATCTCCACGTCCATCCAGCTCTCCCCGTGCTTCCCCTGTGAATGCTCAACCTGTGGAATCTGATTCTTAGCTGATGCTGATCCATCATGCCCAGCTTACCCAACGGGAAAAGAACCAAAGACGTGCCACCAATGCTTGTTTGTATTGCAGTAAGCTGGGGCACTATACTGCAAGTTGCCTCACCAGACCGGCAAAAGAATCTGCTCATCCGTAACGGGGTGAATACGGGTGAGCCGAACCACTACCTCCTCCTCGAGACATTCGCAGTTAAAGGCCTCCCTTTGCTGGCAATCCCAGTCTCTTCCAATCCCTGCCATGATTAACTCTGTTGCCGAAGAAAGTTTTTAAGACAGCCAAGTAGCGAGGCAAATGAACATTCCCACTATTCGCCTGGACACTCCATTGGAGGCTCGGGCCTTGAACGGCCTCCCCCTGGCCCAAGTGTGCTTTAAGAGACTGTACCTGTTGACCTCTTCCTGGTGGGAAACCACCAGCAGACCATCTCTTTCCACCGAATGGAATCTGAACCCCTCATGGTCCTGGGGTATCCCTGGCTCTAGAAACACAATTTCATGATTGATTGGTGTAAAGTTTAGGTCCACACATGGAGCCCCACTTCCATGCCTGTTTGCCTTTGGTTCGCCCTGAATCCAGAACCTGCTACCCACTCACCTCCGCGGAAACCCGTTGACCTCTCCTCCATTCCTCAGGAGTATCATGACTTGGCCACCGTCTTCAGCAAGGAGGATGTGCTCTCTCTGCCCCCACTTCGACTCTATAGCTGCGCAACTGAACTCCTGCCTGGTGCTACTCTGCCTAACAGCTGGCTCTATAACCTGTCCAAACCAGAACAAGCAGTCAAGGAGACGTACATTAAAGACTCCCTGGCAGCCGGAACCATCCAACCTTCCTCCTCCCCTGTTGGAGCCGGGTTCTTTTTTGTAGACAAAAAAAAAAGACGAAGACCTCCATCCTTGTATTGATTTCTGCGGCCTAAATTACATCACTGTCAAGAATACTTACCCTCTTCCACTGATCAACTCAGCATTCTCCTCACTTCATGGTGCCACAATATTCACCAAACTGGATCTCCGTAATGCATTTCACCTCATCCGCATTTGAGGATGAATGGAAGACAGCTTTTAACACCCCACTAGGACATTTCAAGTACCTTGTCATGCCTTTTGGCCCCACCAATGTACCTGCTGATTTCCAGAATGTTACTAGTGATGTCCTACATGATATACTCCACCCATTGTGTACCTCATGATATCCATGTTTTTTCAAGACCCCCTGAGGAAAATGTCAAACTTTGTGTACCTCATGATATCCATATTTTTTCAAGATCCCCTGAGGAACATGTCGAGCACGTCTGTCTGGTTCTGGAGAGGGTCCTCAACAACCACCTGTACGTGAAAGCCGAGAAATGCGAGTTCCATGCTTCTACAACCTCATTTCTGGGCTACATCATTTCCCAGGGTGAAATCTGCATGGACCCCAAAAAGTTATCAACAATGAAAGAATGGTCCCAGCCTGTGAACTGGAGATTGGGTTCGCTAACTTTTATCACCACTTCATCAGGGATTACAGTAAGGTTGCTGCTCCACTCACTGCCATGACTTCCACCACCCAGACTTTCTCTTGGACCCCTGAGGTTACTCAGGCTTTCCTGGAACTAAAGGCTCAATTCACGTCTACTCCCATTCTGATCCAGCCCGACCCGAACCTTCAGTTTATTATGGAAGTCAACACCTTCGATTCGGGGGTAGGAGCCGTCCTCTCCCAAAGATCACTTGCCGACAAGAAGCTTCATCCCTGTGCTTTCTCCTCTTGATGCCTGTTCCCTGCTGAGTGAAATTATGACGCAGGTAACAGGGAGCTCCTCGCAGTCAAACTGATCTCTCGAGTCTTGTCTGCGCCTGAGTCTCTGAGTCTGTTCCATGACAGTTCGTATTTCTTAAAACCAATCACATCAACCAGGGAGCCAGTAAGGCTAGGATAGGGAAATAATGGCCCTGCCAAATAGTGCCAGGAATAAGTTTTTAAGAACTTTTAATAACACCACCACCCGCCCATACTGGATCTCACCTGGATCTCACCGCTTATTCTTTTGACTCCTCTGTCAGAAATTTTGTGAGGAGTAGGTGGTGGGGGTAAGTTTATGGTAAAATTATGTTTTCGGATAATGACCCCCATGGTGCTCACTGGAACATTCAGAAGTCTAGAAATAGGTCCATAATCAACAGCATCAGTACGTTTCACAATAATAAGGTTGCAAAGGTCTTGAGAGAGCTCTTTGCTTTTACCCATCATGAGATGCTTCCTGTGTGACACCTTGCTAATGACAAACCCTTTTATCGGCCATAAATTAGGACTAAACCAGCTGATTTTAATTTGCACTAATGGGAGCAGGATTGCTTCCTAAATACTAACAGATTTCAGCTTGTTTCTTGGCTTCCCATGCCTTTATGCACCTCCTTTTCTTCATGTGTTCAATATTTATTCACTGTGTCACTTCATTTTATTACACATACCTTAATTTATGGACATATATGTTTTGATTTCTTTCTGTGGATTACTTGGGTTGTTACTGACATCTGGTAAAAATGTAATTTCAATAACCCCATCAGAAGTATATTTACTACTTATTTCCCCCGCTGTATATACAAGACAAAGTTTATAGCTAATTATTTTCAGTCATTTAACCAAAATGATGCATTTTTAAGTATCATTTGAAAGCTTAGCATCTTAAGCAGAGGGAGTTTTGTGAATTGGTACACTATACTGTACAGCACGAGTTTGTATCTATGGTGTGCAAGGGCTTGAAAAGTAGTGACAAACTAGTTTTAACACTAAACAGACTGTTTCAAGTCAACATGTCCAGGACCATCTTTTAAGGATAGACAGTTTGTAGTTTATCAATGTTCTCTGTTGGTGAAAGCTTGCTCAACTTAAAAACAAGTCCATGCTCATACAACCTAGTGGCTTCTGAAAAGTGGCCATGACTGCCATGAGGCCTGGCCTGTGTCTGCTCCCCTGAGCCATGCCCTTAGCAAACGAACAGCATGTACCAACTGATTGAAGTTGGTTTCTTTGTAGAATTCAGAAATATTCATTGAAACCCTCCCTTTTAATGACTGAGCATGGAGCCTCAGAATGAACGGCTGCCTTCAGTTAGGGGCTGTGCTCACTTCTGCAGCTCTAAGGTTAGAAAAGGTGAAAACGAGACAAACAACTGATAACCGGACCAAACCCTATCGAAGGTACTGGCAATTATTTCCAAAAGTGGCACAAAATAAAGTAACACATTTCGGTTAATAACAGTTAAAGGGACGCTACCTTGACACAGCTCAGGCGTCCTATCCTCAGCAGGGCAGCAGCCATGTTCCTGTGCAGCCCGTGTGTCCTGCCATCAATAACACAGGCACACATGAAAACAACACCGGGAATAGCAACGCTGACACATCTGTGATCTGCACGTAGCGATATGAGCGTAATGCAAAGAAACAGAACACAATGATTTTTAAAAAATACATTTAAATAAAACGCACTGCTGCGACAATTTCCAACCTTGTCTCGGTGCAACAAAAGTAGCCGGTGCAGGTATTAAATGAGCGTGGACGTGGATGCCTCTCTGTGACTCTGGCGCGGCTCGCAGCAGAACGGCTCTGTCAGCCGTCACCAGGGTTTATGTAACACATGGACGGTAACGCCCCCACCGACCACCGCCCGGGTCTAGGTCTGCCTAGATTATGATGTTGGTTTCAGTGTAAATGCGTTGTCGTAAATACTGCATGTGTTGTTGTGTCTACTGTGAGTATGTGTTGCTGTCAGGACTGCATGTGTTGCTGTGTGCACTGTATGTATTGCTGTGTGTACTGTGAGTACACGCAGCGTGTACATATCCGGACTGAACCTGATTCTGGAACAGTGAACGTAGTTTTTTTCGTCATGTATCGCAGCCACAGCTGCCCCAGCTTTATCGGTGCACTATTGTTCTGAAAGCCACGCGTGTGATCGCTCCACGCGGAACATTGTGTACTTTCTCGAGGGGGCGTGTCTTCGGTGTGTGCGGTGACGTATTTTGCGCGCGACCAAACACTGCTCTCCGCATGAGCTCCCGTCGCCGCCATCATGGCTGCCGCCGCTTTCTGTGGAGACTGGTTTGTTTTTACCTGCAACAAGAAACTCGTAGCAATTCACAGCAAAGACGCCAGGTTGGAATGACTTTACGAGTGTCCGTGATATTTTACTGGCTGTTTTCGAGTGGATAGCGCGTCTTTGCCGGCCAGCCGTGTCTCGATTTCATTCCAGGTTGCTGTAAGACTGGAAATACCTTCCAAACGTGGTCAAGGGACAGGTTACAAGAGCATCTCAGAGCAGCCCGAGGTTCTGATTACCAAAGCTGTTTAAGCTTTTAGCAAGTTTCAGGTCCGTGGGAGCAGTTGGCAGGGTGAAGGTGAACCAAGACAGCAGTGTTTGGTTGTAGCTAATGTTACCTACTGATTCAAAGTGGGCTGGACTGGAGGTGCTAAAATGCATTTTAACAAGTCCCAGTGCGTCTTTGAGAATGTCCTTTGGACATGTGAAATAAAGTTAGAGCTTTCCCAGTCATCCATTTGCTGTAACACCTTTATCCTGTGGAGGGTCACAGTGGGCTGGAGCCTCTTGAAGCAGGAATGGTGTGATACCTGGGTACACCCTGGACAGGTCACCAGCTCGTCAGAAAGCTAACACAGAGGGACAAACTACCACACATGCTCACGCTCACATTTACGGCCAATGTAGAGTCGCCAGTTACCCTACCATGCATGTCTTTAACTGTGGGAGGAAATCCATGCAGGGACAGGGAGTGCATGAAAACGCTGCACTGAAAGCTTCCAGCTGACCTGCAGTTCACAGCCTGAGGGAGGTGACAGTGCTAACCACTGAACACTGTGTCATCCAAGAATGGCAGACTGTGAACATGGACATGGCTACCTTGAGTCTGTGCTTGTTAGATTATTGTTAGATTATTAAGATTATCGAGGTGTTCAGAGAGTTGGTCTCAGTCACAGCTCATGGCTCCTCTAGTCAAACTATGGGCCAAAAACAGACATCTAAAAGCCCCCTTTTTTTACAGTTGCATCAAACCTGTAATTTTGGCCACTTTCTGTAGTGTCAAGGGGTAAAAAGAGAGGTGCTAATGTTCTCCTACTGGTGAAATATCCTGACTAGATTTCAGTATTTTTTAACCAAAAGGGAGATGTATGTCGAAAGCTGATATGGCACATCTAAAGACAACACTATAAAGTAGAGAATAGTTGTATGTTCACTTATGGGTGCAACACACGTGGCGAGTTATATAGTTATATAAAACAGGAATTATTTAATTATCATAAGCGTACCAAGCACTGTCAGACTGAATCCAGATTCACCAGTCTGATGATTTGCTGCATGTCAATAATATGGTGATATCTTTGCAGATTGGAGTGTTGGTCAGACAAAACAAAATGTTTGAAAATGTGAGCTCTAGAAATTTACGATAGGGTTTTCCCCTCCTGTTTTCTGATACTTTAGACAGAGAAGAAGGACATTGTTGTTTGACAATTATAAATCTGACTGGACTTTTAGTGTCAGCTTCTAGTCGTTTTTGGTAACGTTAAATCAAAGTGAAATCATATAAATGTAGATGATTGGTTAAAAATAAAAAGTACCTGTGAAACTGGCACCATCCAGATTGAACATATTAGCTTTCTACACTTTATTGCAGAGAACGGTTTGTGTTTGACTGCAGCACTGCTGAGAAGAAGCCAAAGGATGACAACAACAGGTAAAAACAGTTAAAAGCTTACTAGTTGTCAAGTCAGTCAAGTGTTTGTGTATTGCAAAGAAGTAAAAAAGTGCATAAAAGGACAAGAAAAAGGAAAAGAGAAAATACATTTGGACAAATGTATAGGAGGAAAAAAAACAGATTTAGTATACAAGGAATTATGAAACGCAATTTTACAGCTGTCGCTCTCCTGCTCTGTCAACAGTCAGGGCGGTGCCACAGAGGAAACTGGAAGTGACACAGTCCTTGCCTTTGCTGTATCTCCATCTGGAAAGCTGGTGGCGTTGACTGATGACACCAAGAGACTGGTTCTGTTTAGCTGTGAGCCTTCATGGCGTTGCGTCAGCATCATGTATGACTTAACATCTGTCCTCCAATCACAGCAGCTTCATGCACTGTACTGATGTGATGAAAACAAAAGTGTGTGTGTGTGTGTGTGTGTGTGTGTGTGTGTGTGTGTGTTTAACAGGTGGGTGGTAAGACGGTGCACGTCCCTGGTATTCAGTCAGGCTGAGGACGAGCTGCTTGTCGCTGACAAATCAGGAGATGTGTACTCTTTCTCAGTTGTGGAGCCGCAGAGGGGGGGCAAGCTGAAGATGGGCCACCTGTCCATGCTGCTAGCTGTGGTAAGAAACAGCAGCACCGGTTTATTTTGTGCATACATGTCAGTGATGCCATTTCACAATCCAACCAGAGTCCTGAGGGCAGTACTACAAAGAAAGTTTAACATATCCAGGCTTTCTTTGTTGAAGTCGACAGAAACTAAAGCTCCAGTCAGAGATCACAGGTATCACAAAGGTGGTTACCAACTTTCTTTGTCCACTCAGACGTCCTGCTTCAGACTCTGTTCACATAAAAGGAGGCGTTTACGTGACTTGTCATCTGCATAAAATGAAACAATGTGCAGCTGCTTCAGTCAACACGTTGTTTTAATGGAAACAACGAGGAACATAAAAATATATGACGGTGAAAAGCACCGCAACTGCAAACGGTTCAAGACAGGAATGCTGGTAGAAAACTGTTAAACATGTTAATATATAATATTTTACTGATGTAGCTGCTTATTTCTGACAGCTGCACCTTAAACCTATTAAACTTTAAACTTCATATATTTAAACATGATCTTGTATTGAAAGTCATTTAGGTCTGACTCTGTCCCATAATGCAGGAAATCACTTTAATTTTGGCCAAATCAAAGTGAAATTTATGTGACTGGTTGAATATTCTCTGTAGTAAATACGCCCTGCGATAGACTGGTGACCTGTCCAGGGTGTCCCCTGCCTTTGCCCTGGGTCGGCTGGGATAGGCTCCAGCCCCTCCGCAACCCTAGTGAGGATTAAGCGGTGCATAGATGATGGATGGATGTAATAAATACCAGTATAACAATCAGTTTTCTAACCTGAGTTCTATCTGCTGCAGAGTAAACAAGCCAAACATAAAACATATTTATGTGATTTCTGCATCACCAACTAAATACACATCTGGCAACGCAATGTTTACTGTGTGTGATACTGTAACTACACGGCTTCATTCAGTGATATTAGTAACGCACAGATCAGCGTGTTAGCAGATAAAACACAGAATCTGTATTGCTCATAAGAGAATCATCAGGAAACGATTTGATGAAAGAGACGCATCTTTTAGCAGATTTAAATCTGAAAGTCTGAACTTAATGACCGTGTTAGATCCACAGCATCCGATACCACGGAGACCTAGCTCCACAGCATCAGTTACCATGGAGATCTTGCAGGTAAAAAGACAGCCACCTTCGTGACACTGAAAACTCTGACTTTAGGATCAACATACCTGCTATCCCACTAATCTTGCCTCATAGTATAGCCCTCATTAAGCTGTGACAGTAAACCAACAACACAAATGTAGGAGCTTCATGACTGACACTGAAACAAAACATAACTTCTAAACAAATATAATTGTTTACAAGTTGTAATTAAGTAAGTAAATCAGATGTTAGTTGTTACAAGCATGCTGGGATTTTAATTCTCATCAGCTATGAAGCACTGCACTAGATATTTATTTAGCTGTGTGTGCAGGTAGAATGAATACAAAAAAAATGCAAGTTGTGCACTATCCATACCCTTCCATACCATTGTCCTCCTAAAATATTAGAAGGACAGCCACTGCAGCTCTGATTCGTGGTACTATAACTCAATCTATACCTCCTAATTTCTTGTGTCCTTTTCCTTCTTTTTGAAGTCTCACAATCAGATTAACCTTCTTTTTAGTTCTTTTCCATGTGGAGCTGTGATGCAGTCATGCAGATAGACAGAGCCCGAAGGTCCAAAACTAAGAAAATTTGCTGGTCATCTTTTAAAACATATTCATGCAATTACGCTGATGTAATCAGAAAATAAAAAATAAATCACAAATCTTCAAGTGTTTCAGTGACCACAGATTTTCTAACTTGTGTTGCAGTGATCACTTTTGTGGCATTCAGTTTCTACTTTTCAATATAATCTTTCTAAAGTACTTGTTTTTTATTGTTCAAAAGAAAACGTAGTCTACAGAGTAACTTAACAGAATGCATTTACTGTAAGCTGACACCGTTTTGAATCATTTGACATCAAATGATATTGCACAGGAGTGTACTCTTTTTGGTAGTGTACTGTATTTCACTTGAACTCTAGTGGCAGAATCCAAACAGAAAAAGGGTGAAGTGACTGCTGTCAAAACATTAAATTGCATTTTACTGCAGCATCTCCTGTAGCCTCCACTGTCTGATTAACAGATGGTAGAGAATCAACATCACCACCTGCAGTCAGTTTAAAATCGCATCACAATCCACTAGCTGTTCGTTTTCTGTGTACGCTCAAAAATAATAATCCAGCATTTATACCTTGGCACTGTGACTGGGAAATGAAGTGTGTTAGACCGATAAACACTAACCCTGCATGTCCATAACTGGATGTTGTGATGAAAACGTTTTGTCATACTCCAAGCACGAGTTTAAATTTTAAGTATTTAAAAGAAACTTAATGAAGTGAGTGACAGATTGATTGCCTTCTTCGACTGTCTTTCAGACCATATCGCCGGACAACAAATACATCATCACAGCTGACCGTGATGAGAAGATCAGAGTTAGCCACTACGGGTCTCCATACAACATCCAGTCCTTCTGCCTGGGACATCAACAGTAAGTACCTGAACCGAAAGGGACGACCTGAGAAGTTTCAGTACAGTACCACAGTGCATGAAAGAATGTGAAGAACTTTGATAGTGTGTATGCTCATTGAGGTTTCCTGGGTTGCTGCTGATGTTTTGTTCTGCTTTCTTTTAGGTTTGTCAGTGCCCTACATATCCCATCAGGACACCCACATTGGCTGCTGTCCGGATCAGGGGTATGTGTGCATTTCCTTAAGTTACATTAAAGTGTAAAATCACTGACATTCTATGTCCATTTTAGGTAAAGTGAGATATTTCAAGTCTTTCGTTTGTTTTAACTGCACTGATTATGGTCCTATGGCTCATGAAAATTTTAAACTCCATAATTTCAAATGATTAAAATACATTCAAAGGTCAATCACAAAAAGGATTTACAATAAAGAAATGTTCAGCTTCTGAGAAGTATGTGCATTTATATACTCAGTACTTGGTTGGGGCTCCTGTACCATGAATTACAGCATCAATGCAGCGTGACATGGAGGCGATCAGCCTGTGGCCCTGCTGAGGTGGTATTGAAGGCCAGGTTGGGTGGTGGCCTTCAGCATGTCTGTATTTTGGGGTCTGTGTTTTTTTCATCTTCCTCTTGACCATACACCATATAGGGTTGTATGGGGTTCAGGTCAGGTGAGTAATATCATGGTTAGCAAAAAATTTTTTTCTTTTCAGCTACTAAATCTTACTGGAAAAGGAAATTGGCATGTCCGTAAGGCTTGTCAGCAAATAGAAGCAGGAAGTGCTCTAAAATCACCTGGTAGACAGCTGCATTGACTTTGATTTGATAAAACACACTTTTTAAAGGAGTGTCTTGATTTGAGGAATGTGACGATTGTAGCTCCTTTCCTGAAGAGTTCTGTGCTTGGTGGTTCAGCCTCATGTCACGCCTGGTGACTCTCTCCCGAGTTCTTTTCCACATGTTCATAGACACATAAAGAGTCAAGCTTAAGTCACATACTGTACTACAGAGTAGGAAAAGTAAGTAGGGGTGAAAAGTCTGCTGATTAACACACTATGCAAATCAGATTAAGAAAACAAACCGCTAGTCAAAATCAGATTTTTAAATTTTTTTTTTTTTTACTGAGACAAAACTTTGTGCAAACTTGATTGCAGCGCAGCTCTCTTGTAGATTAAAACTTTGATAACATAATGTCAAAGTTATCATCATGAGCTTTCATCATGAGCAAATAAAAACCAATGTCCAGTTGAGTTTCAGGGTTATCTGTAGTGTGTTTGTTTGTCAGGACGGAACTGTGAAGCTTTGGGAGTATGAGTCCGGCCGCAGGCTGCAGAGCTGGGACCTTGGACAGTTTGGACAGACACAGAACTCTGAGGCTGACAAAGCAAAGGTAACCACAGTCTGCTTCCTCCTACAGCACTAAGAACAATAACGTGTCTCACTTCATACTGTGTACTGCTTAGAAGCTGGTTTGTAGCCTGTATAGTGTCTTCACATCAGAAAAGTGACAAAATAAAATATAGTCCAGGGCTCCAGAGAAATCTGTAAGGTGCAACTAAACATTTTCATTGTTGCACTGTTCTGCCTGACATTTAGCAGGTCATTCTCTGTGTGCCTATTTGTGCAATAGTCAGTAGTAAACCAACCACTAGTCCCTACTTCTAGCTGCACTCCCATTATCCAGACTGTCCCATAATGCAGGAAATCCCTTTCATTTCTGGTCAAATCAAAGCAAAATCTAAGTTATTGATTGAATATTCTCTGTAATAAATACCAGCAGAATAATTCATGTTGTAATCTGTGTTCTATCAGCTGCAGTAGCAGCAGAGTAAACGGACCTTACAGCAAATTAGAGCCAAACATAAAAGCATATTTATGTGATTTCTGCATCGCCAACTAAACATGTCAGGTTCCCATCGCAACGTGATATTTACAGTGTGTGATGCTGAAACTACACGGCTTCATTCAGTGATATTGGTACGGTACAGCTCAGCATGTTTGCAGATAAAACATATTCCCTCAGCTGAGAATCTGTATCACTCATAAATAATAGTCAGGAAACGATCTGGTTAAAGTGAGACGCTCCTTCAGCTGATTTAAATCTGAAACTCTGAACATACCCTGCTCCCGACCAGGTTAGCTCCACAGCATCAGTTACCATGGAGCTCTAGCTTCACAGCATCAGTTACCATGGAGCTCTAGCTTCACAGCATCAGTTACCATGGAGAGCTAGCAGGTAAAAAAGACAGCCACCTTCGTGACCCTGAAAACTCTGACTTTAGGATCAACATACCTGCTAACCCACTCATCTCTCTGGAGCCCTCTGGTCAACTGCTGATAGTCACAACTGAACACAGACACACACTGCCTGTTTAATAATGACACACAAAACATTTCATTGTCTGGCCAAGAAAAACCCCCCAACATAGAAGCGTGTTGTGTTGTGTTGTGTTGTGTTGTGTGTCGTGTGTCAGTCTGTGCATTCAGTGTCAGCAATCCAGAGCAGAACTTAAAGCTTAACTCTGGTGTGTTCACAGAAACACACCCAGCAGCCTCCCACCACAACAACACGCAGCACAACATTAGTCTGGTTTGATAAAATCATATGAACAAACTGAGGCCACGTTGAATGTGTTCAGTTTGCAAAGTTTATGGATTGCAATGCACTGAAGGGGTTAATGTTAATATTTTCTCATATTTAATACATCAGCAGTCTGTCTTGTCTGTGTGTATTCGAAAAATAAACACTAAATTGTTCACACCAGATACATTTCTCTCTAATTTTTTTCACCACACAAATAGATTCAAGCTGCATTGAATTGAATCGCATCGTAATGTGTTAAAATGGACTGTTCGTGAATCATATCGTACCCCATGTATCTAGATTCATATCAGATCGCCTCTTAAGGTAGAGATGCACACCCCTGCATAGAACACTTTGCTGGGTCGTTGACAGATTTAATATTGTATACAATGTGGAGAAGCAGACAGTTTGTCCAGTTTCTTAAGGTGAAGTAAAAATGCACCAACTTTTGTAGTGAACAGATGGTCAGAAATTCCTTTACACGTGTCAGTATACATACAGTCAAGTCCAAAAATATTTGGACATTGACACAGTTGTCAGCATTTCAGCTCTGTACACCTCCACAATGGATATGAAATGACTATCAGCTTTAGTTTGAGGGTATTCAAATCCAAATCAGGTGGGCGGTGTAGGAACTACAACACCTTTTATATGTGCCCTCCATCTTTATAAGGGTAATTGGACAGACTAACATAATCATAAATCAGTCAATAACAGCCTGAAGTCTGAAAGCCTTAGACATCAGCAGACGGTGGGTTTGGTCCCTGGTGATGCTCTGCCAGGCCTCTACTGCTGCTGTCTTCACTTCCTGCTGGTTCTTGGGGTATTTTCCCTTCAATTTTGTCTTCAGCAAGAGAAATGCATGCTCAGTTGGATTCAGGTCAGGTGATTGACTTGGCCATTGTGGAACATTCCACTTCTTTGCCTTGACAAACTCTTTGGTTGCTTTCGCAGAATGGTTCAGGTCATTGTGCATCTGCACTGTGAAGCACTGTCCAATGAGTTCTGAAGCATTAAGCTGAATATGAGCAGATGTTGCCTGAAACACTTCAGAAAACTTGCTGCTTTTGTCAGCAGTTTCATCATCAATACACACAAGAGAACCAGCTCCACTGGCAGCCATACATGCCCACCCGTCATACTATTATACTGCCACCGCCATGCTTCACTGATGAGGTGCTATGTTTTGGATCTGGAGCAGCTCCTTCCCTTCTCTATACTCTTCTCTTCCCATTAGTCTGGTACAAGTTGATCCATGTTGTCCACATGTCCACCATGTCGCTGGTCATCTTTGTCTCATCTGTCCAGTGGATGTTCCACAACTGCACAGGTTCTTTTAGCTGTTTTTTGCCAAACTCTAATCTGGCCTTAATGTTTTTGAGGCTCACCAGTGCTTTACACTTTGTGGTGAACGCTCTGTATTCACTCTGGTGAAGTCTTCTCTTAATTGTTTACTTTGACACAGATGTGACTCCGTCTTGGAGAGTGTTCTTGATCTGGCCAACTGTGGTGAAGGGGATTTTCTTGACCAGGGAAAGAATTCTTCTGTCATCCCCCACACCGGTTTTCTGTGGTCTTCTGGGTCTTTTGGTGTTACAGAGCTCACCAGTGCGTTCTTCCTTTTTAAGAATGTACCAAACTGTTGATTTGGCCACACCTAATGTTTTTGCTGTCTCTGAAAGGTTTGTTTAGATTTTTCAGCCAAATTGTATCTTTATTGATAGTGACAGCTCTTTGGACTTAGGATTGAGAGTTGACCTCACCAGATTCCAAACGCAAATACCACACTTGAAATGGATTCTAGACCTTTTACTTGCTCCTTGTAAATGAGATAATAAGGGAATAACACACACCTGGCCATGGAACAGCTGAGCAGCCCATTGTCCTATTACTTTTGGTCCCTTAAAAAGTTGGAGGGCGCATAAAAGGTGATGTAGTTCCTACATCGTCCACCTGATTTGCATGTAAATACCCTTAAACTAAAGTTGATAGTCTGCTCTTAAAGCACATCTTTATTGTTTCATTTCAAGTCCATTGTGGAGGTGTACAGAGCTGAAATGCTGACAATTGTGTCAATGTACAGATATTTATAGACCTGACTTTATATGTAAATGTAACCCTGATATCAGTTTCCATACTATATAAGAACCACTGAGTCCTTCTTCCCAAAACCTCTTTAGGAGTGTAAAAATATCTACTCTGGTTGACCTCAGACCTTTTGACCGTTTGGCATTTCTTCAACAACTGTTCTGAGAAGGTTACCCTACTAACAAAAATATTTCCACAGCTGTAAGGATACATGTACTTAAAATGAACACATAGATAATAAATAACCTAGAGATCATAATTGATTTTTACATTCACAGTTCAGAGAATATTAATGGATAAAATATGAAGGCTATTTTTAGGTCTAATTTTCCCTGTGGCATCCGGCACCAAGACCTGTGCTTGCTTCACGTCTCTGATCTGCAGCCGCTGGCCTCACCGACCCCCAAAATATTTATTGTTGCTGCTCTCCATGTGCTATCCTGCTATCTCCACCCCAGCTGCGCGATATAAATAAAACTGAATTGAAAAAAAAAGACATTAATTCAATTGATTCGATTCAATTTTATTTGTATAGCACAGTTTACAACCTATGTCATCTCACAGCGCTTAACATAAGTGTATTGCTTAAGGTATATACCCTACAAATTTAAACCCAACAATCCAAAGTTGCCTTTGGACTCCCTTAGAGCAAGCACTCGGCAACGGTGGAAAGGAACCAATTCTTTAACTGTGTAAACATAATTAGTGCTTGTTGTCATTGAGTCTACTCTGTGGAATGAAGGTATGACCTGTCAATCAGCAGGAGAAAAACAGACAGTAAAATTTCACATATTTGAACAATAAGAATGTAGTAACAGCTTCATCACTCTCTGTCTGTTATTTCCCAGAATCCAGCTGTGTGCCGAATCATTAGCTCCCCTGATGGACACCATGTCGCTGTGCAGTGTGAAAGGTGAGCGTAACTTCCTGTGTCAGTCATTTGTCACCTGCACTGCTGCTGGAATGTGAACACACAACTGTATGTAAATCAAGTCACGTCAATTTTATTTGTATAGCGCAGTTTACAACATATGTCAGCACACAGCACTTAACGTAGTCAGGTATAGACCTTGCACATTTAAAAGAGAACCCAACAATCCAAAGTAACTTTTGGACTCCCTCTGAGCAAGCAGTTGGCAACGGTGGGTTCAGTTCAATTCAATTCCATTTTTTTCAGTTCAGTCATTTTTATACAACCCCAATTCACAGCATATGTCCTATTAAAGCACTTTTCATAAGATAAGATAAGATAAGATAAGATAAGATATGCCTTTATTTATCTCACAAGGAGAAATTCACATCGTTGACAGCAGCTTTCAACAGATGTACACAGATACGACACAGGAAAAAACAAAAAAATAAAAAATGTACATATAAATATCAGATATCATGGTGAAGACCTTACAAATTTTAAACAGAGAAACCCAACAATTCCCTATGAGCAAACACTTGGCAATAGTAAAAAAGAAAAAAAATTTAAAATGATTTGAGTTTAAATGATTTGATTGAAGTTGCTCTGTTGCTTTAATACAGAGCTTGTAAATGTTTACTTGGATGCTTTCACTTCTAGAGTTCAACACTCTAAGATGCAGCATAATTTTTCTTTGCAATGCTTTCTTGTGTTTGAATGTTGACATGATTTGCTATGTAAAGTAGTAAACTGAAAAAAGTTGCATAGCATAAATCTGTTCATATGCATTCTTGTATATCTTCACGCATGTGCGCGAGATGTAAATAACACATTCTTTATACAACCATACCCAGTCACACAACTGATAGTCTCATGAAGACAGAACAAAATCTGCCAGTTGACTTTAGTAGACAAGTCTCATCTGTTAACTGGAAACCATGTGAGGACGTCATGAAGCTGATTAATACATTACCAATAACTGTGTACAGCTGTTACCAAGGCAGACAGAGCCTCCTAAACTGAACATTTTTTGATTTGGATGGACTTTTGTTTCCCTTTTCTATGTGATTCCCTAAAAAGTAGTTTCATAGTTTTGATGTCTACAGATTTATTCTACACATCAAGAAAACTCTTTAACTCTTTTTTCTGTACGTCTTGATTCATGTTGCCTATGTGAGTCCCAACCCGTATTTTAAAATGTTATATTTATTTTCATGTCTCTTTATTTTGCCAGAAAGGTCCCATTGGTATACCACTTGTCTCTTTTAGGGAATTTTGGTCAAGACAGCAGCACAAGAATGATTACTGGAGATGAAAATGAGAAAATATGAAACCATGTAAAAATTGTTGCCAGAGGAAGTGAGTGAACGTAGTAATGTCAGGCCCTCACTGTTAATTATATTCCAAACCTGTTTCCAGAGTCACTGTTTATACAAACTTTTTAACTTTCAGAGGACAGTAACACCTCTGATGGCATGTAACTATTTTGGCTTCTGGTTGTTAAATGTATTTTTAGATGTAATGTGGCACAAGGTCACTGCAGAGTTTACCAGGCTGTGTAGTGTCTGCTATACATCATGCAGTGACACTTAAAGTGGGTCAGTGGCTTAGAAAAGCACAAACTGGCTAGTCAATGAGGAAATCTTCCACATTGAGAACTAGTCTCCTGAAACATAGCAGTGATCAGATGATGAATTTGGTGTTCCCATGTGTCCTCAGGATGTCCACAGTTCAGTTTTTCACTCTACACCAGGAGGGCGAAGAGAGTCTTGTGCCACACAGCAGGCTGTCCCTGCCTCACTGTCCCCTGGACATGACCTTTGACATGGAAGGACAGCTCTGGGTGGTGATGGACTCCGATGATGCACCACTCCAGATCTACACACTCAGACAAAGCACCTGGGAGGTACATTCACATTTACATACTGATTTTAGCAAAATGTTCACTTTCATAGATAAGTTGTACATTCATTTTACATTCACAGTGGCCCAGCCCTTTTTCTGGAGGTTAACGTTGATAATCCCATCCTGGCCCTGCTGTCTGTAAAGTACAGGAAAGCCTTGTGTTTTCATTGTCTGCTGTTACATCATTATAAAGTTAAAATAATCTGTAAATGTCAAAAATCTTGATGTGACTTCTGGACCAACATGTAGAGTGTTTTTTTTTCCCATGTTAGGAATATTGCTAAGGAAATTTGTACTATTAAACTTAATATAAGCTCATTGAGTATGAATGCAGTCTGGATTCAGTAGTTTGACTAAAACATCCTAACATCTTCTTACTAGCTGTTTTTCCAAACCTTTAAATCAGTCTTCATTGGAAAAATCTCTAAATGTCACACATTACCAAGGCACTGATGCTGATTAAGGCTTGACTTTATAATGCATTTCTTGATATTATAGTTCACCTTGCTTTTATTTCAGTTGAACTGCTATAATGTGAACTCATTTTTTGGAGAGAATTCTGCTAACTGAGCATAAATAAGTCCAAACACACAAATCAAAGTGTGCATGTTTACAGTACAGAAGGATATTTGTGGTGGCCACAGAATCCACAATCTACTCTGTTTTCACAGTCGACAGCCTCTGGGTATTTCTTGTTATTAAAATGTAATGTTTCTAACTCAACTTTGGTACAGAAGCTGTTCCTCTGGATTGATATGATTTTGCTGAAAGACTAAAGCATATTGCTTAATCTCTTGCTGCTGTTGCTCTTCGCTATTTCACATTTTCTCATAATTCTCAGTCCAGTGTGTGCACACTCACTGACCTGTGTGCTCTGCTGCCCTCTCTAGTGTGATACCAAGAACCCGAACCTGAACAGAGTGACTGAAACCTTCAGACCACACTGGGAGTCACTTGAGGGTAAATCTTAAGTCTCTGTCTCTTTGTTTCTCCCTGTTTGTCTTTGTCTTTCTCTCTGTCTCTCTCTCTCTCCATCTTCATCTCTGTCTCTCTCACCAACAGACACACACAGACTATGGATACAGTAGGAATAAGACACAAATACTGGATTACAAACATTGAAAACGTTTTCCAAGCTTCCGCCATGAGATGTTCTGCCAGCTTCTGTAAATTAGGGCCCATAGAGATAATATACAACCAAGGTCTTTTCCCAGCTAAGTTAGGTGACTTCCTGCAAGCACAAATGGGCTAAAAATAGAATAATCATATGGCTGTTCATGATAGTGCGATTTAATAATAATATAAATAAGAGTCATTAAGCAGAATGTGTAACATTTAGAAAAGTGCATTCACCAATTTACAGCCATTCCTTTTGCAAAGATTGTCTGTTGTAAAAATGCTTTTTGGGCCAATGTGCATCCCATAATGTATGTAGAACCTGTAGTAACATGGCAACAAAATGGCTGCTCAGCCCCTCGCTATTCCTGAGAGCTTGACACGCACACTTCCATATAACACTTTGGCCTCTTGTTTGTGCGTCTGCTGTGTCCTCCAGCTCTTATCCACATCCCACTCACACTTTGAGACAGAAATAACTCACGGTGTCATTTGACTTCACACACCGCCTCCCCCCAAACATCTTGTTTGCTGGCACAGGCTAAATCCGGCAGCATTTTTGTTTCAACAGTGTAAGCTCTGCAACCATCCAACTAGTTGTGAGGATGATGTTATGCATAGCTGTGTGCTGTCTGAGTCAGTCTGCAGATCTAAAAATAACAATGAATTCTTTTTTTTTTTCCACAAAAAGCTGACAAAAATGTGTAGGAGGTATTACATTGCATTCTGTGTGGTAAATGTGTGTTACGTGGATTTATTCTTAAAGTGAAAATGGTGACATTCAAATGTGTGCATATAGGAAAAGGGAAAAAAAAAAAACAACCCAAAACATCCCATTTGAAAATCCAGCCATCCTCCTGCTGCTCCTGCCTCCCCCCTCTATCCAACGCCTGTCCCACCTTATGACCATGGGCACATGCAAGAGCTTCAAACCCATAAAAATAATCACACTAAAAGTCATCATTTACCTGCAACTTGACACCCCACCTCTCCTCAGTGAAAACCTCTGTTTATCCCATTCAGCTACATGTCTGGGTTCCAATGTACTCTCTCTGATCTGGTATTAAAAGACATTTGATTGGCCAAACTCTTCCTTTATGGGCTGAATTTTCTACAACTTTAAAACAAAGCCAGGAGGAGGCGGGGTTTTCCCTACCTGCTTCCTGTTTGTACTCCTGGTTCCCATGGCAACTTGCTGTCCTCGCCTCCTGTGTGTGCAGAAAAAAGGATGAAGAGAGACTCACTGTTGAGGTCAAGAAATATCCAGAGCTGTATGTCCCACAGAAGCAAAAAGACAGTAAATTCTAATAATAATAATAATGGGTGTTCATACATGATTTGAAACTAATTTACACCAACATTTGTCTTGTTGACACTCTACAGCACAGTGTTTCCTACTGGTACTGGGAACAACCTGTGACATGTATCATATAATGCTTTTCACCTTTAAACAATCTCAAAAAGAAAAACAACAACATAATAAATGATGCACAGATTGAAGTGAAATCTGCTACTGACTCTGGGCATCTTCTCACTTTTCCTCCAGCACCATCTTCTGGTTAAAAGTTTGTACACTACTTTGGGTTACAAATACCTGTAAACCTACTGACAGAAGCCTTAGCTGTACTTTGGTTTCAGTGCTAATGACTAGATGTTAGCATGCCAACACATTAAACTATGCTGGTCAACTCATAGGGCTGCGAGTCCGCTGGGATAGACTCTGCCCCCAGCGACCCTAGTGAGGATTACAGTGTAGAGATGATGGATGGATGGGCAACATATATGCTTACCATGTACATAGATCTGGCGATTGGCTCATCACATTCACATCTATTGACTTTAGCAATTTCATACACATTTGTGACATTTACTTAGTTTAATTAGGTAGACATGTACATTTTTCACATACTTTATCTACTCTGAGTTAGCAAGATGATATCCAGCTAAAAGGTTGCCATTTTGATTTTGTCCTGGTCAACATTCAATTCAGTTCAATTCAGTTTTTTTTTTTTTGGCCCGTTTTCTACCTTTTTTCTTCCCCCGTTGTTTAACCTTGTTTTTTCACCGGGAGGGGAAGTTTTTTTTTTTATTTTTTTATTTATTTATTTTTTGAAATCAGATCGAGCCCAAAACAACAATATTTGAAATGAATGTACCATGAGTAAATGTTTAAAAAAAAAGAAGTGCTAGTCATATTGTACTCATAACATTAAAACAGTCTTAGTCCTCCATCAGTCCTTTTTGAAATGAGCTCTGAAGGACTAAATAAAGGAGGAAAAAATTTTTACCCTTATGAGAATAAGACTTCCATAGGCTAGGATCTCTGTATCTCATGGTGCAAAGTTTGCCAATACAATATTGTACCTCACATTTTTAAAAAATAAGTTCAGATGGGACAAATATGCCCAATAGTATCACCGTCAGTACTGGCTCGTGTGTATGAAACTAGATTTGAGTTCATGTCTCCCATTACAGCTGTAATGTGCATGTTGGCTGTAAGTGTGCAGCAGTGGTTTGTCTCACAAACTCTTCTTGCTGATGTTCTTTTACACAACAGCCTCCACAAGAACCAACCACCGCTTTGAGCACTTGTACAAAGTGGGCTACGACAATGTGACAGAGTACCTGCAGAAGAAGCAGCAGAGACTAGAGGAGCAACAGCTAAAGAGGACGATGGCTCAGAAGGCAAACGGCAACAAGAAGGCCAAGAAAGAGGCATCAGGAGCTGTGACCGGGCCGCCTGTCTGAATGGACATCTTGAACATAGTGTTAATATTCCTTTCACGTTTGGTGTTCTGAGTTGTTGATCTGAGGTGAATGTGTGCAGTGTGTGCCTCACCTCATGTTCCCTGGAGATGGATTTTTACATTTGGCTAAAATTTATGTCTGATTTTTTTTTTTTATAATGAAAACGATGCAGCCAACATTAAACTGTAGCTTCTGTTTCTGCCAACATTATTGTATGAAAAATGCTGTTTGTGAGTGTGCAAAATGTGCACTTCTCACACTCGCAACTGCTCTTCACTGTGTACTTGTTACTTTGATTTCTGGTGCATTACACCACATTTTTTTAGCAGATTTCCATCTCATGTACGGAGTTGATGCAGAACAGGAATTTGGATTTAACAAATTTTATAACACGAGAATCGCAGAATGTGTGAGTAGCGTCCTGTTTGTGAATGGTGACACAGTAATTGTCTGCACCAGAACACACCATGAAGAGTAGTTAGAAGACTTGGAGTCGTGGAAGGTTCACCTCCATGTTTACCCTGGACTTTGGTCTGGTATTACTAATAACATCAACTCTGTTCCATTCAAGTGTTTCAGTGAGTCAGCATACATTTGTACTGGTAACTGGAAAAGCGACTTAAAAGCGGACTAAACTAATTTTGCCTTTTAGCTAAAGTTTATGTGTGATAAGATTTAGAATGCATCATAGTACAGAGACAGCACTGATGAAGGTCACTAATGATCTTCTTATAGCTTCAGACAACGGACTAGTTCATATGCTGGTTCTGCTGGATCTCAGTGCTGCATCTGATCCAGTGGATCACAGCATCTTATTACAGAGACAGGAATGTTTAATTGGGCTTAAAGGAACTGCACTAAACTGGATTAAATCATGTGGATCAGACAGATTCAGTTTGCTCATGTTAATGATGATTCCTCCACCCGCATTAGAGTTAGTTATGGAGTTCCACAGAGCTCTGTGTTNGCGGCTCGCAGCAGAACGGCTCTGTCAGCCGTCACCAGGGTTTATGTAACACATGGACGGTAACGCCCCCACCGACCACCGCCCGGGTCTAGGTCTGCCTAGAGTATAATGTTGGTTTCAGTGTAAATGTGTTGTCGTAAATACTGCATGTGTTGTTGTGTCTACTGTGAGTATGTGTTGCTGTCAGGACTGCATGTGTTGCTGTGTGCAATGTATGTATTGGTGTGTGTACTGTGAGTACACGCAGCGTGTACATATCCGGACTGAACCTGATTCTGGAACAGTGAACGTAGTTTTTTTCGTCATGTATCGCAGCCACAGCTGCCCCAGCTTTATCGGTGCACTATTGTTCTGAAAGCCACGCGTGTGATCGCTCCACGCGGAACATTGTGTACTTTCTCGAGGGGGCGTGTCTTCGGTGTGTGCGGTGACGTATTTTGCGCGCGACCAAACACTGCTCTCCGCATGAGCTCCCGTCGCCGCCATCATGGCTGCCGCCGCTTTCTGTGGAGACTGGTTTGTTTTTACCTGCAACAAGAAACTCGTAGCAATTCACAGCAAAGACGCCAGGTTGGAATGACTTTACGAGTGTCCGTGATATTTTACTGGCTGTTTTCGAGTGGATAGCGCGTCTTTGCCGGCCAGCCGTGTCTCGATTTCATTCCAGGTTGCTGTAAGACTGGAAATACCTTCCAAACGTGGTCAAGGGACAGGTTACAAGAGCATCTCAGAGCAGCCCGAGGTTCTGATTACCAAAGCTGTTTAAGCTTTTAGCAAGTTTCAGGTCCGTGGGAGCAGTTGGCAGGGTGAAGGTGAACCAAGACAGCAGTGTTTGGTTGTAGCTAATGTTACCTACTGATTCAAAGTGGGCTGGACTGGAGGTGCTAAAATGCATTTTAACAAGTCCCAGTGCGTCTTTGAGAATGTCCTTTGGACATGTGAAATAAAGTTAGAGCTTTCCCAGTCATCCATTTGCTGTAACACCTTTATCCTGTGGAGGGTCACAGTGGGCTGGAGCCTCTTGAAGCAGGCATGGTGTGATACCTGGGTACACCCTGGACAGGTCACCAGCTCGTCAGAAAGCTAACACAGAGGGACAAACTACCACACATGCTCACGCTCACATTTACGGCCAATGTAGAGTCGCCAGTTACCCTACCATGCATGTCTTTAACTGTGGGAGGAAATCCATGCAGGGACAGGGAGTGCATGAAAACGCTGCACTGAAAGCTTCCAGCTGACCTGCAGTTCACAGCCTGAGGGAGGTGACAGTGCTAACCACTGAACACTGTGTCATCCAAGAATGGCAGACTGTGAAACATGGACATGGCTACCTTGAGTCTGTGCTTGTTAGATTATTGTTAGATTATTAAGATTATCGAGGTGTTCAGAGAGTTGGTCTCAGTCACAGCTCATGGCTCCTCTAGTCAAACTATGGGCCAAAAACAGACATCTAAAAGCCCCCTTTTTTTACAGTTGCATCAAACCTGTAATTTTGGCCACTTTCTGTAGTGTCAAGGGGTAAAAAGAGAGGTGCTAATGTTCTCCTACTGGTGAAATATCCTGACTAGATTTCAGTATTTTTTAACCAAAAGGGAGATGTATGTCGAAAGCTGATATGGCACATCTAAAGACAACACTATAAAGTAGAGAATAGTTGTATGTTCACTTATGGGTGCAACACACGTGGCGAGTTATATAGTTATATAAAACAGGAATTATTTAATTATCATAAGCGTACCAAGCACTGTCAGACTGAATCCAGATTCACCAGTCTGATGATTTGCTGCATGTCAATAATATGGTGATATCTTTGCAGATTGGAGTGTTGGTCAGACAAAACAAAATGTTTGAAAATGTGAGCTCTAGAAATTTACGATAGGGTTTTCCCCTCCTGTTTTCTGATACTTTAGACAGAGAAGAAGGACATTGTTGTTTGACAATTATAAATCTGACTGGACTTTTAGTGTCAGCTTCTAGTCGTTTTTGGTAACGTTAAATCAAAGTGAAATCATATAAATGTAGATGATTGGTTAAAAATAAAAAGTACCTGTGAAACTGGCACCATCCAGATTGAACATATTAGCTTTCTACACTTTATTGCAGAGAACGGTTTGTGTTTGACTGCAGCACTGCTGAGAAGAAGCCAAAGGATGACAACAACAGGTAAAAACAGTTAAAAGCTTACTAGTTGTCAAGTCAGTCAAGTGTTTGTGTATTGCAAAGAAGTAAAAAAGTGCATAAAAGGACAAGAAAAAGGAAAAGAGAAAATACATTTGGACAAATGTATAGGAGGAAAAAAAACAGATTTAGTATACAAGGAATTATGAAACGCAATTTTACAGCTGTCGCTCTCCTGCTCTGTCAACAGTCAGGGCGGTGCCACAGAGGAAACTGGAAGTGACACAGTCCTTGCCTTTGCTGTATCTCCATCTGGAAAGCTGGTGGCGTTGACTGATGACACCAAGAGACTGGTTCTGTTTAGCTGTGAGCCTTCATGGCGTTGCGTCAGCATCATGTATGACTTAACATCTGTCCTCCAATCACAGCAGCTTCATGCACTGTACTGATGTGATGAAAACAAAAGTGTGTGTGTGTGTGTGTGTGTGTGTGTGTGTGTGTGTGTGTTTAACAGGTGGGTGGTAAGACGGTGCACGTCCCTGGTATTCAGTCAGGCTGAGGACGAGCTGCTTGTCGCTGACAAATCAGGAGATGTGTACTCTTTCTCAGTTGTGGAGCCGCAGAGGGGGGGCAAGCTGAAGATGGGCCACCTGTCCATGCTGCTAGCTGTGGTAAGAAACAGCAGCACCGGTTTATTTTGTGCATACATGTCAGTGATGCCATTTCACAATCCAACCAGAGTCCTGAGGGCAGTACTACAAAGAAAGTTTAACATATCCAGGCTTTCTTTGTTGAAGTCGACAGAAACTAAAGCTCCAGTCAGAGATCACAGGTATCACAAAGGTGGTTACCAACTTTCTTTGTCCACTCAGACGTCCTGCTTCAGACTCTGTTCACATAAAAGGAGGCGTTTACGTGACTTGTCATCTGCATAAAATGAAACAATGTGCAGCTGCTTCAGTCAACACGTTGTTTTAATGGAAACAACGAGGAACATAAAAATATATGACGGTGAAAAGCACCGCAACTGCAAACGGTTCAAGACAGGAATGCTGGTAGAAAACTGTTAAACATGTTAATATATAATATTTTACTGATGTAGCTGCTTATTTCTGACAGCTGCACCTTAAACCTATTAAACTTTAAACTTCATATATTTAAACATGATCTTGTATTGAAAGTCATTTAGGTCTGACTCTGTCCCATAATGCAGGAAATCACTTTAATTTTGGCCAAATCAAAGTGAAATTTATGTGACTGGTTGAATATTCTCTGTAGTAAATACGCCCTGCGATAGACTGGTGACCTGTCCAGGGTGTCCCCTGCCTTTGCCCTGGGTCGGCTGGGATAGGCTCCAGCCCCTCCGCAACCCTAGTGAGGATTAAGCGGTGCATAGATGATGGATGGATGTAATAAATACCAGTATAACAATCAGTTTTCTAACCTGAGTTCTATCTGCTGCAGAGTAAACAAGCCAAACATAAAACATATTTATGTGATTTCTGCATCACCAACTAAATACACATCTGGCAACGCAATGTTTACTGTGTGTGATACTGTAACTACACGGCTTCATTCAGTGATATTAGTAACGCACAGATCAGCGTGTTAGCAGATAAAACACAGAATCTGTATTGCTCATAAGAGAATCATCAGGAAACGATTTGATGAAAGAGACGCATCTTTTAGCAGATTTAAATCTGAAAGTCTGAACTTAATGACCGTGTTAGATCCACAGCATCCGATACCACGGAGACCTAGCTCCACAGCATCAGTTACCATGGAGATCTTGCAGGTAAAAAGACAGCCACCTTCGTGACACTGAAAACTCTGACTTTAGGATCAACATACCTGCTATCCCACTAATCTTGCCTCATAGTATAGCCCTCATTAAGCTGTGACAGTAAACCAACAACACAAATGTAGGAGCTTCATGACTGACACTGAAACAAAACATAACTTCTAAACAAATATAATTGTTTACAAGTTGTAATTAAGTAAGTAAATCAGATGTTAGTTGTTACAAGCATGCTGGGATTTTAATTCTCATCAGCTATGAAGCACTGCACTAGATATTTATTTAGCTGTGTGTGCAGGTAGAATGAATACAAAAAAAATGCAAGTTGTGCACTATCCATACCCTTCCATACCATTGTCCTCCTAAAATATTAGAAGGACAGCCA